AAAGGGATTTCCAATAAACTACACACATTCACCAACAACTGCTTACGCTCGCTACTGAAGATCAGATGGCCAGAATAGTAAGAATAAGCAACAAGGTGCTTTGGGAACGAACCAACCAAGAACCTATCACGCAACAAATATGCAGGAGGAAGTGGAGATGGATTGGGCATGCACTGAGAAGGCCGACTGAGGACATCACCCATCAGGCCCTCTAGTGGAACCCCGATGGGAAGCGACGAGTTGGACGTCCGAGGGTGACATGGAGGAGGTCTTGGGAGGGGAAATGAGAGGTTGTGGGCTGTCGTGGAACCAGGTTCAAAAGATCTCAGAGAACAGAGGTCACTGGAGACGTGCTACTGAAGCCCTATGTTCCAATAGGAACCCAAGGGACTATTAATAATCAAGTCATTGTGAAGATTATGACATCACCATGCAAAGCTACGTGCCACTTAGCGTCATTTCTAACTCACTTGCCTATTACACTATGGAAACAGAAAACTATTCAGCACCTTCGACCGTTATATGTGTCATTCTGTTGTCACAACCAGTATTCAGTACCCTCGAATGTAATATATGCAGATGACAAACACGACAAACCTGATCTTGTCCAAACAATGTAGTGAAGTTTACCATCTGTCAACTTACGCTAAAAAGAGACCAGTAGCAAATATAGGAACAAACATGGGCACTGTGATACATCGTAATTCCATTTCATTCTGTTTATCACATGTGTCACAGTGAAACAATATTGCTTAAATAATACTGTTTCACTGTGTGACACACCTAATTGGCGAATAGTGCGAAAATGCGAATAGTAGTCCCTTCAATTCAGAGATATGGCGATTTGAGAAGTGTGGTCAATCAGACTGTCACATTGAATTCTAAACAAACTAGTCGGGGTGTGATTTCATGACGAATTTGTGCCACGTTGATCATTCCAGCGTCCTTCCATACACTCCCTCATATGCTTTCAACAATGTCGATAGGTCAATCAGTCAGTAATACGATTCAATTTGGATGTTTTTGATGAGTTGACTGACTGAAATGTGATGATTAGATTGAATGAAGTTGCGACGGTTGTAGTATGTCTCGATAAGATGTGTGAATAGAGGAATGATATCGGACAAGACGGAAGCAGATCTGAAGTCAATGAAGCGGACATTTAGGAAATCGCCCATCTCCATTCGTCAGTGACTGAAACGCTGTGACTAGAGGGATTACTAACATCTTGGTGATAACAAACAAACTAATTTGTGCTTTAGTATGATGTGAGCCAGTTGTATTAAATTAAGCAAGTGCATTAGCGTGGTTCAGTTTATCCTAGCGACGAGGTTGTTAGGTTCTATGAGCATGTCAAGACTGATTGAGCGTCGTGTCGTATAGCAGTACAGCGCAGTAAGATATATGTCTGAACGGTTTTGACTATCTTGTCTCAACATAACCGACTCTCAGTATGCATTGTAAGTTGTTCTATATTTTTTCACTCTCCAAACTTGTTCTCAGTTGGATGACGTTGTAAAATTTGTTAACCAGGTGATTATTTGATTTCGGCAGGATTGAGGAGGTGGAGAGATTTTGAAGTGTGAGCTGGAAATGCAGCGTATTCTAATTTGATGAATAGGTACACCTATGTATTGAATATGCTTGATTAACGCAGAGCTATTCTGATCATTCTATTGGACTAGCTGTTATTTGAAGAAAGTATCTAAGAATGGGATAATGAGTTTTCTGGGTTGAACTAGAATGGAAATTGACTGTTTCCCCTCACATCGATGACGTAATTTGTAGAAGATAATAAAACATTTCTCTCAAGTCAATGAAGTCGGGTTATAACCGAGAGAATGAAAGTAGCTTGGAGAGTTGGGAAACTAAGTCTGTGATGACAGGATAGACTGAAAGAAGGTCTTATGTATACAATGTTAAAGATTCCGTTTGCGAGTATACAGAGCTTCTGCTATACAAAGAAACTCTATTGGAACCCGTTTTAACAGTGACCTAACAAAATAATGTTTCAAAATACAACTTTTTATTGACTTTGATCCCGTTTTTATGCTGGTTAACTACCGTGAGCAGTGTTTTGTTGGTACGGCCCATATGTTATGTTCCACACGAACAATTAAATCGATATACATATAGGTGCTGTGAACAACAGGAACTTAACCTGGTTGCTTTGATGAATGAAAGCTTGCACGCACACACACACACACACACACACACACACGGACTGACAGTGACTGAGAAAATCAGCGTGAAGCCCCGCACACAGGTGAATTGGCCCAAGTTGCCACACTTCATAGTAGTACACAAGAAGAGTGATATCAAGGAAGATAAAGTAGTAACAGAATAGGAAATCTGAAGCTAATGGTTAGTGCGAATATTCAAGCTTTATATGATGTCAAGGAGTGAATGCATCTGTCCCATTGTGACCGACTTTCAGTCATGTCACCAAGTGTCCTCAACTACTGGTTTATTTCGTCTTCAGAATCCCAAACAGGCCGTCTGCATATACACACATGACTCAGATCAACAGTCAGAGACTTCATCAACTGGTGCCACGTCTTGGTCTGTCAACCCTAAATTCTCTTCCAACCTAATCCCATTTCCCGTAGCATGGTAGCGTGACACGTCAAGATGGGTGGTGGTTTGGCTCGCACAGCATATGTTGAAGCCAGGTTCACAACCTAGTGAATCAACATGCCTATCTTACCTAGTACCCTTCGCCTAACCTCAATATTGCACATACAATGATCCTACCAAACATAAGCAATACTTTGAAGACACCTATGATCAAACACCTGAAGCCATTTCATGTTTTCTTCCTTGAGAGCTAACCGTCGGGTCTCTAGCTACTCTGAAGGTGAATTTTGAAGACTCATCACTAGAGCTAGGTAAGGCCAGTTTCATAACCAGACTCATGTCCTGTGTATACTTCTGAGGGATGCAGCCCAGATCCATGTCTACAGACTCCAGAGTTCTTGCAAGCAACGATTTCTGTCCAGTTCGGCATAGAATACGGATGTTGAAAGCTCCTACACGAAACTAATGGCGGGGTTTTAAGGGACTAGGAATGAGGTTTCGATGGCCTTAGTCATGAATGCAGAGTGAGAGGTTGGGTGAGGCGTAAGAGGTTTAATATTAATATCAGGAGGCGAAGGCTAGGTAAGCGCCAGGATTGAGGAGGATAAATTATGTTTGGTTGCTTCTCGTGTACTACTGGAAGCGTGCGGGGGATTGACACTTCTAGGCTACTCACACTGTGGAAGGCTATTTCTTCTTGGGGTTTTTGAAACGGAAAGAAATTGTGACTGCAAAACTTATGGGACATCTGCCTGAAGTCTGTCGCATACAGAATTTTTCCGGTTGTTGTTTGAGGTTTTGTTGTTCTAACGCCATATATATATATATATATATATATATATATATATATATATATATATATATATATATATATATATATATAAACAAGATCTCTGATATATGGGTCATGATGCGTGGGCAACAGTTTTCTCTAAATATGTTTCCTTTCATCATTTATGCCCTTCATTCCACCAGAGACCCCGCTCTTTACCCCTCTTCAACTTCAACATTTCACTAAATCTACTTTGAACGGAATTGCGTGAGATGGCCTGAAGCATAACTGCTTTCCCCAGTGTGTTAGGATTATGTAAGTGACAGTGTGCGAACCAGCCTCCGTGATTCTTCTCACTCTGAAATCCAACATGACTGATTCTCTCCGATCATTTCTAAGTCATGAGTGAACTGTATACACCCAACCATTATCTTACTAGTTAGATCTAATATTCATAAGGCCATGTGTTCCCAACTATCCATAAGTATGTCTGCTATGATTGTGGATATTGGTGACCGCATTGCCCACACTCTTGTTTCTCTATATTACTATGTGTAGAGGCTTGAGAGTTGTAGAGGTTAGACGCACACAAATTTACCTCTAGTATGATCTCTTTATCAGTAGATATCCTCGTTCACCCAGTGAGTTCTCAGTCAATATTTGGGTGGTTTCTGACTGCTTGCAGTGAAGTATCGGTTGATAGGCGGGTATATGGGCTTTTTTCATCATAACTAACCGCTCTGTTATCACTGTCTGTGCTCAGATCCTTGACTTCTCAGTCTCATTTCGTGGAAACTCATCAGTCTGGAATTTGAACGGTTTCTGTTAGTAAATACTTGTCTGATACATAGGTTGGATGTTTGGTGAAACCGGTTATTTGTCTCGTGTGATAACATAGTTTGTGAAAGACATATTATGTTGGTCGTCGACTTTCTAATGCGATGGATGTCAGGGTCTACAGGCTACCCAGTCTTCATATGATACTTCTTGGATGTGTCAAATAGTTTCCCTCAAGTAATCTATTACCTTCATATCTACTATTACAATACTTTTATCAGAGCCGGTTAATATCAGGCTGTTGCCATTCCCTAGAATTCACGTAAGCACACTGAGACAACAACGTCAGGTCGATGGCACTGGATCTTGATTTGAACGCTGTGTTTACATGGTTTTCCCAACCCTATTCACTTTAGCCTTATTCTTCTGATCTTAATCAGCAATAAATTAAGCTGCTATGTCGTTTGAACACCTGAACTTGAGCGAATACATTTACATCAAAGAAACTACGTAAGCATCTGTCAAGCCGAATGGCCCTAGCAAATATGTAAGAAAAACTCTGTATACGAAAATTGTATGGTGAAGATGTCGCAAATTTACACACTCAGTCTATTACCGACGTATGAATATCAGCAGTTAGAGAAATTATCAACACCGTTCAGACCAGTAGTGTTTCAATCAAGTGAATACGAGCCTCATCAAGCAAATTGAAACACCTTGTTGAGTTATATTACATTTGAATTTCAAACAGACAGGTGATTATCACGAATCATCTATGACTACGTAGTGCGCTCCAGCTGTTGCTATGAATCGTTGATTTAGAAAAAGACTATAGTTTGTTTATAACAAAGGTTTTATAAAGTTACATTGTCATGGAAAACCAAAGAAGTGAAACACTACTCAAGACTGTTTGTATTCGCACTGTTTCTAGATAAATCAGCGAGACTAACGGTTCCTATGAATGCTGTGGGGTTGTTGGTCGCTGCAGTTTGACTCCACAGTGCTTGCTTCTGTGTGAACATGCCCATATGGTAATTTATGTACTTTCTCCAGGGTTGTTGTGGGTAGTGACAAGTCAACGAAGGGAAGTATCCGAACAGAGAAATTTGCACACATTCCAGTACAGAGGCGACTGACTGTAGTCCGTATCGTTTCACATTTCGTATGCACGCACCCGGACTGAGAAGCAAGTATGCGCCCACAAATTGAGGTTGTCTGTATGGAAAAGTAATGAAATACAGAAAACGTGAGTGTTAGAGTATATAAGTGCTAAATTTGTGCGAGAGACAATATTATTGCTGTTGTAACGAGATTGCAGTGTTCATTCTAAATGTGGAACACTTATGAAGTACTAATACGCATCCCATCATTAGTATGTCCTGATATTCCAATGGTCTATTTCCCATTGGTACTTGATAAGATAAAAATTACCTCACCAAGTCAATAATCTACATCCGCGTGCACAACGGACTTGCTACTGTCTAATCTTAAAGAAGTTCGTGTGTCACTGCCAGCGAAATGTACTACTTGACCAGCACAATTTCACTTGCAAACAGAACAGCTAACCTACTGTCCCCTCAGAATCATCTCGGTTTGATTTCATCTTCAGTGCACCATGGTGAGTCGAAATGTAATTGCTCTCCTCGCAGTAACACACTATCCCTACAGTTCCCAATCACACCACTATCATTGTAACATACAGGCAATCACTGTTCACTGGTTGGCACAATCTATTCAGGTTTGATTGAGGGGAGTTCGATAAAATATCTCAATATCTCTTCCTAACGGACCATCATGAGAAGATATCGATTTCAGTATGCATCTGTGCTTAACATCGTGTGCTGCAGTCATTCAGAGAGAATATTCACACTGAACATACAAGTTAAACAGACACATAGAAACTTACTCATATGCCAGCCAATATCGTGGACTTTTATACCAAGTGTATCCGGGTGCACAAATCGACTGTGTAGTCCATACTTGGAACGGCGACAGTAACTCATTGCTATTGCATAGATCAGACCAGTAGCCTAGTGGAAGTCTTTCACTGTACAACCGTAAACATTCCAGCTGAGTATATCCTGCATACAGTAGAGTGGATTTATTTCCCGATTCAGTTGCATTGACATCAGTGGCAGTTGTATTGGCCATTGTTGCTAATGGAAGTGCGCACATATGGAACAGTAGAGTGATTATCAGCATTGAGTTGGATTGTGTCCTTCCTTTCGTTCACAAGTGAGAATGTATGGAATATAGTATTTCCCACTACACCGTGGCAACCAGTTAGTGTGACTACAACACTAATCTTTCGACAAATGAAAGTGCTACAGTAGTTTTTTGGGTATATAAATTGAACAAATGTGTAAGTGATGAATACTCACAAATGTCTTTCACATCTTAAACTAATTAGTACTATCTTGACTTGTGAGTAGTAATCACATTATGATGGAAATTGTTACACGTAGATGATTACGTCAGGACATCTGATTGTATAATATGACATGATGTGGGGAAGATCGATTTAATGTGGTCATGTTGATTATAGAGGCAAAAAAGAATAGATATTATGAAAGCGGTATTGCAATGCATTTAAGAAGAAATTGATGGTTGGGAAAGTGTCTCGGAACTGGCATGAGGTTAGAAGAAATGACGGGACAAGTGGTTTTGTTTTCATAGGTGACACTTCTGTATGTCTGTGGCTGGGGATTCAGTGATGAGTATGGAAGTACGCTAAAGGATTGTCTTGAGAGGCATTTTATCAACAATCAATCAACTCGTTGGGATAGTGAGATGTAGTCCATATTATTCCTCCCATACATAAACCTGAACAAGTCAAAAAGCAATAAATGTAGCAGGAAAATATAAGATCATGTTCTACTATTTCGAGGATTCTCCCCATCTGCTTGCAACCGAAATAACATCAGAATATGCACATGGAAGAATCTTAACACACTTTTAATCAGAAGTCATTGACAGGATGAACCAGTAACATGAATGATGTAAATGAATGGAATAGAGGAAATTTTTAGGAGTGTGAGAGGAAGATCGACTTTGATGGTATTTAGTTCTCTGATCTGGATGTTTTAGTTGTGAAGCTTTCATTGTCATTCTAGTCAACATCACCAACGGAAACGTTACATCTAAACCATTCAGCTAGAAATTTGCCACATCATTAAAATCATCCTTTTGAGCTTCAAATATTCTCCATCATCTCAAAGTCCTGTGACGAAGGTACACCATTTAATGGGATTATCAGGTGAACATTCGCGATCGAAAAGGTTGAGGGGTGAGTGAAAAACAGTACTCATGGATTGTATAGTTGCCAAACATTCTATTCTTCGCTGATCGTGTCAGTGACGTTTTGTTGACTTGCTAAAAGCATGATTTTGTTCTTTTCACGTGTACATTCTGATATTATTTATGTTGCAAGCAGTTGCAGTTGAGGAGTCTGCAAAACAATGAAAATGAACTCATATTATCCTGCTACACTAGTTCTTCTTGCACTATTCAAGTGGATATCCAACTGAATGCTTCAGGTGTTCAATACCAGTTCTCCTGTCTTCACTCAATAGGTGACAACCAATGACTATAGATCTGTTTTGTTGATGATGAGTAGTTGTATGTATATGTATCCCATGCTACTGATTTTATCCCTTGTGTAAGCAGACAGTAATGTCTTCTGTCCATGATGGTCTGCTTCCACTTCTTGCCATCACTGATCATCCCCCAGCCACATGTTCCAATTTTGTATTCCTCAACAGTCTGATTTCTCCAATAGCTCTCATTTAGGTATACCTTAGCCTATCTATTTGAGTTCATTTTGTGGGATAGATGTAAACTGGTATGCATCATTGAAGTGAGTAATTTCTTTTTTCATATCTTCTGAGCTGTCCAATTTTTTCTGCCTCCATAAATTGCTTAATTTATAGGGGTCAGATGAATTGTCCACGACCAATCAAGCATTTCAATGACTGGATGTTTGTCATACTTCATTGTTGAGTACTCTTTTCGCCTCAACCAATGGTACTACTAACGATCGGGTCAATTAGATGGCAGTTTATACGGGTAACAACAGCGCAGTTGCTCATGTTTTTCAAGGGCTGTAATACGACATAGTTACGTTTAACGCCGGGTCCCGCATCCGTACATATCTCTTTAGTCCCATATACACAAATCGCATTACGAAATTTAAGTAGTGAGGGCGCTGTAGAAAGGGTTCCGCTATTACTGCTTTCCAAACTTTTGAAAGTGACTCAGATATACAAGATATTCTAGAAGACTGACACTTGTTCACATGGAATTCTGGATGTGACAACTGGAGTAACTACAATTCTTGAAATACCGACATTCTCTCTTGAATCATGGTCACTAACTTCTTTCCTGCTTCTGCTTAGATCAGTCAAACTGCAGAGCAGAATGCACTATACTGTTTCATTTCACCAAACATGACTGTTGATGAAAATAAGATCTGTGTAATTTACTCTTGGTATCGTATTACCAAGATTGTCTTCAAGTCTTATCGTTTATTCCTCTCATTATCTTTCTTATTATTGAATTCCTTTATGTCATATGTATCCTTCTCCCACTTCCAGTTTTCATATATAATGCCTTAACAAGTAAATGTGTGATCAGATTGTTCGAAATGTATAGCGCTAATACATCACATTTTTCAGATAATCTACATCTTTCAATTACATTATCCATACTCATCTTATGTCACATGGAACTGGATCTACCTCAAATTTGAAAGCCAGGAAAAGTGAAGAATATGCTTCCAAACTCTTTATTTAAGAAGTCCTGAAAATTCTACACCATATTTATTTGAACAATAGACTCATATTGCTAACTGAACATTTGCCGACACTGACATTAAAATAACCCTCATAATTACTAATGGACAGTGCAGTTTGACTTTGTTCCAGTTTGTACAGATGGTCTTACTGGGCGATAAAAAGTAAACTATTCGCCGAAAAAGTCACAGAAGTTTGCTGGGATTAGGCGCGTTGGTTGATAATTGTTTCATTACATGTGTCATATTATTTCGTCTATGAAATGACAAACATTCAATCTCTACTCACATTCATCCTCCAAACCTCATTCTTCTATTCGTAGTTACTTCCTTAAAGTGACAGATAGTCGAAAAGAATAGTATGAATTGATTTGGATTCATTAACCCCTAATAGTACGTGTATGGATGATTCATCAAATCTGAATACTCTGACTTTCAAATACATATTTCAAACACGTCCCATCTCCTCTTTATTCTGTGCCTACTGGTTGACGATGGACTGGCTAGGCACACAGTTTGCTATGGACACTCCTTTCCAGTAGCTTGCTTCGATTTGTAAAGATTTCTGGAGGATGGAGACAACACACCTTTGACAAAGTTCTTTGTCGTTGCTTTATTCGGTTTAAAACTGAATGCAGTTCGCAGCAAGAAGAGCAGTAATAACAATTCAAGTTATGTCCCTTGAAAAACAACTTCCATTGACAAACCGATGACTGCTGTGGACGCATTGTGGTTGTGAGTGTGAACAGTTAGTTCCACAGATCACAACTTGTACACAGATTCCTAATATGTTGAGTTGGCTGCTGCTTTTACTGAGGGCTTGTTGCATGTTTACAAACATTCTGCATACATGGGTATTCTTCTGTTCTATAATTAAGCCTCTGGAAAGAATCAAAAAACAGTGAGCTATCTTCCGTTTACTTCTTGGTGGTGAAGTTGACACATTAAGATATTTTGGCTAGTCAATGGGAAGTCTTCTGAAATTCACTCTTTCCTGTGGTGATGAAAGTTAAGTTCACTCAGCCCAAATACAGATTTGATGCAGTATATCTCCTACTCACGTGGCTCCTATCCTTCGGTTATTATATAATATAGTCTGCAGTCCAGCTTAAAAAGATAGTGGCGTATCCAAAGTGTCTGACTGCAAACAGAATGATCCAGTCCAGATGAGAACCAACATGCTTACACCACAGTATGAGCAAACTTGGAATAAGTTGACATCAGAGCTCTTGTGTTGAATGTTAGACGATGTAAACACAAATATATGGCGTGATGACTGAGGCCAGTACCAATAGAAATGACTGTAACACTCTACTTTCTAGATTCTAGACATTGTGGAAATACTCAGTGGGCAAACTGAATGTTGACTAAGTGACGCCAGTGTGGAGGTGAGTGTTTCAGGTGTGATTATTGATAGGCATCGTATTTGAAAGCCAAGAGGTAAATGTTGTCGGATGTATGAATGGTTCAGGTATATGTAGTTGAGGGAACTGACGTGCTTTATGAAACAGGAGCGTATATTGTTTCCGATTCCCGAAGATATGTTTATTGGGTGGACTGTGACTTCAAATTCCAAGGTTGAATTTCAGGTATTAGATATTTGTCTGCACACATGGGGAATCCGACATTCATTCGCCAGTTGGTAGCTAGAATACTAAAAATATGAATTACAACAGCAGATTCCGTTTGGTTTAGATGATCGATGGGACCTTATTAAAGATAAAGGTAATCTGGACTTTATATCCTTATTTGGAATTTACTGAAGATGAGTGTATTTAAGTGTATTGGGGGATTTTGTTGGAAGGGTATCAGGATGAATTATTTAAATGGAATTATGAAAATTGTACATTTTTAAAATATAATTATATATCAGATTATAAGAATGTGGAGATACCTGGCTGACGATCTGAACATTAACCAAACCACGTGATGGTAGGGGTGTGTTTCAGGTGAAGTTAACGAAATGAAAACCATTAGGAAATTGAATGCAGAATGTTGTCGAATATCTAAATAGCACACAAAGATGTATTCAAGGGAAATGGTTAACTTCGTGCACTCTGGGTGTGCACCACTCTGCTGTTGATAGATGGTCCACCAATGAGGGTCGAAAATTGCTATCCTACATGCAGCGACATATCGAAGTGTGCAATACCACATGTTCACCAGTGCATCGTCAGCACAAAATATTGAGATATAATAATAAGTGAATTCTGAGGAAGTTGCAACTTCAAATGATGTTTGTGTGCTGTATATAGTACACAGCGATACGGTAACATTTACCGGATGACGATTCAAGCACAAAATACTTCTCATAATAGTATGAAAACGATCGAAAAACATGTGGTGTCTGATTTTCATAGTTCCATCAAGTCATCCATCGATCCCAGCTGCATTGGAGGTTTCCATATCTTAAGATATTGTGCTGGCTCCTTCCTAATGCAAGCGCTAGGAGTGGATTCAATAATGATTCTCTGCCATCAAATAGAACTTCGCCAAGTTAACTAGTTCACCAGTTACTAGCCGGTTCTAAATCCGGATAAAGAGGAGAGGTTGAGAGTGGGGCTAGCAACCCTATCCCGGGAAAACAGTCCAACCGCTAAAGAAACGTCAAAGCAAAAAGAAAATATAAGAAACGAGAATAA